GACACGTTCATCAGATCTAAATTACATGTCAGGCGTGTCCAAATTACAAACAGCACAGTTCAAAGCAGAATTTCCCATGATACAATTACTATTTATTCTTTCTAGTGGGCTAGAAGCATCCCATGGACTATCACAGGAAGTGGGCAAAGGTAACTCACAGGCAAAAAAGGTGCTCAGATGTGAGACCAATTATTCAGCCAGGAAATGAAACAACTACAAAAGCAAAAGCAAAATCCAAACCCACCACTGAACAAACACTGGCATGAAAATTAACTTGAATGCTCTGAATCCCATTCACAGCAGTCTCCCTCCCTCCCTGCTTGCTGCTCCCTTCACTACAGTGCTGCGGGAGCCAGACACTTCTTGCAGCCAGCAACAATAAGCAGAGGAATCGAGGGCTCTCTTACTTCTTCCCAGTGGTGAGTCTCCACGTGGAGATGGACCAATGCTTTCAGGTCACCAACCTTCATGTAGGTTTCTGCTGCATAGCCAGGATTAGCAAGCTTCTTAAAATAGAAGGCGCATTTCAACAAAGGCTCACGCTCAGCTTTATCCAGTTTTCGAGCAATTTCAATTAACCTGGACCCAGTAAAAAGAAGCAGATGTTCATGTTCTGCCTTGGTTTGCCTTTTAATTATTTATATTATTATTAATTATTGTTTATATTATTAACTTCACCTTTAATCAGTTCTTATTTAATAAACAGCACAACAGTAGTACCATGCAATGGTGTTTAAACAGTTTTCAGCTAACAGTCCAAATTCTTATTTTTTCCTTTCACAAACTCAAACCCCATTCCTTCAATCTTTGCTCCTACATGCAACTCCATGTCTCAGACTCTGCAGAGTCACGAAGACGGAGAGAGAGAGTAGGTCCTACATGACTAAGTGACATGGGACACACTTCCTCCCTAACTTAAGAAAAGACTGCTGAAGGGAAGGCCAAGTGATCTGTCCAAGACCTTAGGCAATTCAGCAAACAACCCAGTGTCACCTACTGCAAATCAAGGAGATACTGTGATGCAGTTGTCTTCTCTACCCCCGAGGTGATCACCCTTAACAGCTTAAACCAGAGAAATAGGCTATTGCATGTAAGCGCCGCTGTGGTGATTACTCTGAAAAGCTTAAGGCATGCATATTTTAGAAGACAGCCTCATACTACAGATGAACGTCTTCATACCCTTTCCTGTTGCAATGCATTTGCTTTCATTATGTATTTATGTCCTTACCATCTAAACATATGTAACTTTAAAACATTTTTAATTGTAGGTGTGCTTCAAGTACTCAATTTGACATAAAGCACACAGCAAACAAGTTTTGTCTTATTTTAAAAATATGCAGAACTCAGATCTACTTGAAGTTTTATTCTATATTATCTCTGAGATGGAACTAGAACCTACATATCGACCCAGCCGTGGTCCCCACTGATTTCTATGGCCTTCATGTGCTCGCCTGCAGAGAGGTACATCTCCACTGCTGCTTTGGGTTCATTGATATTCTTGGCCCAGTCTGCTTGCTTTTTTATGAGCATCTTTGTGTCTTTGGGGTCTCCAGATACCAGGAAATCCTGCAATAGTGCAATACAGAAGTTTGCATTACCTTCTGCTCACAAACATGGTCACAGCTGAGACTCTAAAATACATAAAGGCTTTTTCAAAGAATGCCTTTATGCCTCCTAAGAAAAGCAAGACTGCACACAGGACAGCATGAACTGATCCAGCCTTCAGCAACCAATCATCAAGGCTCAGTGTTTGGTAGGAAGCAATGGCAAGTCTCCCAGTTAGACAGCTTTCAATTAAAAAAAGAAGTGGAGATTCTGGGAGGGCCAGGAGAAGGACGAGGCAGGAAGTGTGCCCCAACGTGGTTCCTCAGGAAGCTCACTCTGTTGAGCCTGTTGAAGCGGATACAAACTGTCATTTCTGCATGCTTTTCAGGAGCATGCCTTTCCAAAACAAAATACTATTCATGTCAAAACACATAATAGATCAATTCCAAGTACAGATTTTCTTTTGCAAGCCAAGAAGGTATCTCTTCAGTCTCAAAGACTGACCCAGCCCTACCCCATGCTCAGTTAACAGCAGTATACCCACTTCATTTAATGTCAGCAGCAGCAGGATGCCCAGCCACAGATCAATGAAAGGCTGAAATTTTGTTTTCTGCAAAGACACTTGATAATTATTTTAGACTGTATCAAAGAAGCTCTTTTATAAGGACAGAATGACAGCTGCTCAGAAGTGACAGTGACTCAACTACCGCTTGGACTTCTGCAAGGAATGCGAGCACCAGCCCTGGTGGTGATCATTCTAGCAGCTTGTTCAGCTTCCCATGCCAATAGCAAAGCCCTGGCAGCATTTGGTTCACATCACCAGGAAAAAAACCAAAAACAACTAAGTAGTTCAACAGCAGAAGCTGGATTTAGGGCAATTTTGTCTGTCAGCAGAACAGGCTACTGCCCATTAAAGCAGCTTCCAGCAAGTGAAAAGTGAGAACAGCAGAGAAAGGGAAAGGTGAGAAGAGAGTGGAAAATTACCTTTTCTACTGTGTTTCTGGTAAATTCTGACTGAGGTTTAAAACACAAAAGAACCCCAACAAACAGGCAAAAAAAAACCCACAAAAAGCTGCCACACAGCACAGATCTGTTCCAGGACCACAATGCAGCAGTCTCCCTGCTGCAGGCAGTTGGCAGGTACAGAACTGTTCCCCATCCCTGTCAGCTCTTCACCGAGCTCTACACAGGGTTTTGCTCTAGCACTATCTGCTGCCACACAGGCCTCATTCTATAAATACGTCATGTTAACCCTTGAACATGAAAAACTGAAGTGAAAGAATGAAGTTAAACAACACACTTGACACAACTTGCTTTCTACCTTAGGTCACCAAAGTAAGTCCAAAATCAAGCTCAGCTCCTTTAAAGGATAAAGAGGTTTTTGTGAGTTCTCAGGATTCTGGGATCTGGTACTGCGATAACAAGCCAATGATCATGTATCAGCGGACTTCCTGACCTCTGCTCCCAGGCTGGACTCCCTAGCCAGAGCTAATCAATGTCCAGCACCATGAATCAGGTTCTGTGAGATTCCCTTTGCATAGTTGGGGAACCATTAAAAGCAACGCCACCAGCCCTTCTCCCCATCTTTCCTTGGAAACATAACTGGTAAACAGGGGTGTTTACATAGCCTTCCATGTATTGTGCACAAGAAGCTTCTTCCTTCATATGCTGTGAACTACCTTTAATTTCCTCTGCATGGAGTTACTCTCAAGGATAGGGACACAAGACCTTTTGCTCTCTGCTAGTTAAATATAAACATGACTACAGCCAAGAATTAAAAAAGAGCCTTATGAAGACTTCTGGGAAAATTTTCATCTATGAATTACATTTATGTTCAAGAAGAGCCAAAACACTGAAGCTAACAAAGACTCATCAGCCAAAAATAGTGGAAGTCAGACTTACATCAGCAAAGCTCCAAAGTATTTATATTAAGCTCTTGGAAGAAAAAGATCTCTCTGTGGCCCAGTTTGTGGAATGTCTGCTAGAACAGCTTAAATGCATGTCACGGTCAAGTCTGTATTGGGCAGAATAAGGCTCTGACAAGTGACAAATGAGACTAACCAGTGCATGCATTCTTAGGGATTTTGATAAGAAAACACCACGGAGGACTTAAAAGCCAAGTAATGCTTTCTTATCAGCATATCAAAACATCGGTTTTAAAATCCATATTCAATTTATTTCTACATGTAAACAGAGTTTAAAAAAAAGAAAACAAAAGGCCAAGACATATAGAATCATTGGAAGAAAATTCTCTAGTAAAAAAATACACTAGGTTAGATCCTTTGGTAGACCCCACTTTGAAAGCAGTTACAGACATTAATATTTCTGCATTTAAATATTCAGTTGCAGACCATTACCTTTGCGTGGTCAAACATGCGCAGGTCAGAGTACATCTCGAGAGCGAGGCTTTCATGCCCACTCTTCCTGTACAACTTCGCTGCCTCATGGAATTTTCCCTGGTAGGCATAAATATCTGCTAGGAACAGCTCATTGTTGTTCTCTCCAAGCCTCTTCCGTTCCTGGCAAAATGAAATACAGCAGAGATGTAGAAAATAGTCTAGATGACCAGCATGTAGGTGAGAAATGGCCATGGAGGAATTAGATTTTCAGGATTAGATTTTAACTGTTAATGAAAACCAGTAACAGGGTATCATAATTATGCCTCTCCTACATTTCTGGTGAATTTATAATTAAAGGATTATATCCCTTCTTAATTAAAATTAGGAAGAGCAAAATTAAATGTCACTATACAAACTAAAGTGATGAAAAATCACTTCTCTTGATTTCACACAGGAAAACGAACACATGCTGTCATTACGCTCAGCTATTTTAAAGGCAGCCTCTGATGGGCTCCTTCTTTTCTCCTGGAGAAGCTCACTTGCATATCATTTGGCTGTATTAACACCATGACAGTGGGATGACAAACATGACAATAACTGCTAGCCATAAGTAGACTTAGAAAGTCTGTTAACTTGCCTCTGAATCAGAAAGTGTCCCCACTGCTGTCCCCCCATGCACGAGCTTGTGATGTCGGGCAGGCAGCAGTGGCATGTGCTCTCCTGCTAACTGCAGCTGCTGACTGCCTGCCTGGGAAGGGACCAGAGAGGCAGCACAAGTGCAGTGCCACAGGGAAACCCCTCATGTGAACCAGACCCACAGGGGCACACTGGCTTCAAGGGACCAGCGTCATATATACGTGTGTGTGTGTTTTAATATATATGCTTTATCCTGTCTCGTGGAAACACATTACTCCCTGCTTTGGATAAACTATTACTACTGCTAGCCCACCTCATATGGAAATATGTAGATCTGAATTGAATTTAAAGAAAATTGCACAAAAGGAGGGAAAGCATTCCATGAGCATACAAATTCAGTTCTGTACTGCCAAAGGAGACTCAGCCATAGCTCCTCTGGTCACACTCAGAACTGGGCTGACACTGGACGGGTGTTGAAAGTTCCCTTTAAAAGCTTTGTTACAAGAATAATCAGAGGAATTGTTACACCAATTTTTACAGACTTCACAGAATCTTGCCAGACACAGAGATCTGGCAGTTATGTATCCTCCTGTCATCAACCAGAAAAAAAGGGTGTCATGACTGAGAGAAAACCATCACATCAATGGAACATGTGTGCTTAGTTACACCCTTACAAGCCTTAAGAGGAAGCCGATATACCACAAGCAAGAGTAAGCGATGATGTAGAACTCTTACTTCAAGAGGAGCATTTTCAAGTCTGAAAGTAAGTCTGTGCCTGTTTGCTAAGGGAATCACAGAATCATAGAATAGTTAGGGTTGGAAAGGACCTTAAGATCATTTAGTACCAACCCCCCCGCCATGGGCAGGGACACCTCACACTAAACCATCTCACCCAAGGCTTCATCCAACCTGGCCTTGAACACTGCCAGAGATGGAGCATTCACAACCTCCCTGGACATCCCATTCCAGTGCCTCACCACCCTAAAAGGAAAGAATTTCCTCCTTATATCCAATCTAAACTTCCCCTGCTTAAGTTCTAACCCGTTACCCCTTGTCCTGTCACTACAGTCCCTAATGAAGAGTCCCTCCCCAGCATCCCTATAGGCCCCCTTCAGATACTGCAAGGCTGCTATGAGGTCTCCACGCAGCCTTCTCTTCTCCAGGCTGAACAGCCCCAACTTTCTCAGCCTGTCTTCATACGGGAGGTGCTCCAGGCCCCTGATCATCCTCGTGGCCCTTCTCTGGACTTGTTCCAACAGTTCCATGTCCTTTTTTATGTTGAGGACACCAGAACTGCACACAATACTCCAGGTGAGGTCTCTCAAGAGCAGAGTAGAGGGGCAGGATCACCTCTTTCGACCTGCTGGTCACGCTCCTAATCTTCCTCATTAAACAGAATACAACATGACGAATCCAGAATATCCTCCATAGACACAGACCTAGAGAAGCATATGTGGAAAAGAAAGACTGGCAGTAGTGAGAGAATGCTCTCCTCTACCTAGCTACCCTTTAAAAGCAACACAAAACTTTGTCCCATGTTAGACACCAAGAGCAGTCAACTGCAGCCAACTGTCATTTTGACATAACCAGGACAGCTCTGCAGAACTGGAAGACAACGAATGTATTCTTTTAGAGAAGGTGCAAATCTAATTATCATGAGAAAGAGGAATTCCTTTTATGCCATCTCAACACTGATCTTTAAACTAAGCATTATCATGCAGTCTTTGTAGAAGGACAAGGGTGATACCATGTCTTTTAATGTGCTCATGACAGACAGTTATTGTCTAGTGAATTTCTATCAAGAAGTGTGAAAAGAGTTAAGAACTAGTGATTAGAGCACAGTATGGAAGTAAAGAATCCCAAATTCTATTTCCAGTTGTCACAGACTTGTCATGAGATGCTGAGTTTGTCATTTTACTTCTCTGGGCCTGTTTCTGGCTCTGCAAAGAGGAGATAATAGTAATTACCTACTTCCAGGGGGTAAGGAAAGGCTTAATTAACTCATGTTTATGAAGTATGCTGTACTAAGCTCTGGTAGCACAGTAGTATTCTACCGATTATTAGTTGAATATTGAATGTTTCTCCAGTTTTCCTGAGGACAGTTCCAGAAGTTCTCATTCCACACCCCCATTTCTTCCCCATGAAGTTTCAGCCCTGTGACTGGGATTTGTGTCACCTCTGCTCATTGGGATTTTTCACCCTAAACACATCTCCAACAGTGAGAAGCACTCTCTGAACAGAACTCCCTCCAAAACAGCACTGATTTTGGCACAGCACTCAGTGTAAGGATATATGCAGTCTTTAATGCTCCCTTACCTCTATGCTGCTGATCAATTCTAAATATCGAAGGTCTCGTACTCTGGTAAATGCCTATTGAAAAGAAGAATGAAAGGGATTAACATGAAAGGCCAGAAGAATCAAAATATTGTTATGCATAAATCCAGTGTCATCAGGCCTGACAGAAACATGCTGGGCTTTGTGTCTGTGCAGTCCCTAACCCGAGGGGCTCTCACAGCAACTGCAGCCCCGAGGCATCACAGTAAATAAGACCAGGGCAGAATCCAAACAGCTTAGGACCGAAAATAAACAGCAAAGGCAGGGACTAGTAGGTGCACATGTCAGTCCCCTAAGAAATACAAAATGCCATTTAAAATATGACAATACTTTTATTCTGGCTTTTTCATAGCTTTTCCATTTTGATGTGAGGCATGATACAGGCAAAGAAAATCTAAAGAAACTATTACAAGGTAGAACATATAATTGATGGCGTTGCCAAAGCATACTGCATGGGCTTAGGGCTTTTATACCATTCTGAACACTCAGTATGGAGAAGAAGGGAAATAAAAAAGGTAAGGCAGAGGTACTGCAAGGCAGTATAATATCTTTTGCAAATGGAGATAAATGTGCAACCCAAAGTCTCAAGTGGCAAAGTCACGTGTGAGCTCCAGCAGCTTAGCACTTATTCCTGACATGCATCAAAACCCAGAATTTTAACTCTTTAGACTGCACGCTCAAGACTTCCAACCAAACTAATGCCTGAGAGGGCACAGCACATTCTGCTTACACCAGATCGGACTAGGAGCTAGGAGAGCCTTTAATGTCAAGAAGCTGCTTTTGTTCAAGTTAATCCGCTCTAATTCTAACAGGGCACTACTTTGAAATCCCAAGGAGGCACTGAAAACTTCTTTTCAAGAATATCTATTTGCATAAGGCCATCCATGAAGCTGAAATGATTCTGATGCCTCCACTTAAGAAAAAAGAAGAAAAATAAAGTGTTTAATTTCCTTCTTAAAAAATCAGTTATTAAAAGATGCCTATTGCTACAGGCCACCCCCTGCATATTTTTAGAATGTTTTGTTCTTCATACAATATTCATTATATATTAAAATCAGTTCACCCTCTCTTGTTTGAGAAAAGGTGGTGAAAGAAAATAGGTGTTTCATGCTGGAGAAAATACCATTCCTCAGTATATGCCCATTTATTCCCCAAAACAAGGCATTCCAGAGAGAAAATGTCTAAAACAATGACATTACATCATCACTGCCTTCAGATAACATTAATATATAGCTAGAATATGAAAGAATATGAAAGCTCCACGTTTGAACGGAGGTTATGTTAAATACTAGGGAAAAATAGGGGAAAACAGAGCAAGTTCCCAGCACTGGGGAAGCGGGGAGTCAGCCAAGGCGTTCTGTGGTGCCACCCGCTGGTCAGCAGCGCCACTGAACAACCTCCCACTTCTCTCCCCAAAGTTATTAATGCATCTCACAGCAGTAGATGAAAGAAACCATTTTCTTTGCATTTAACACTCTAATTTAGAACATGGCATTTATCTAGAGAGATAAAATAGACCTTCAGTTTAAAGCCTCGTTTCAAGATCCTAGTTATATATATCGAACCAACATATTCTTTGGTATGTGTAATAACGTACACACTAAAGACAAGCAAGACAGTAACCAAGGAACCCCACTTTGTACTCCAGCCATAAACCATATATCATTTACACACACTATATATATTTACTTATATATAAGTATATATTATATATATTTATTTATTTATGCGAAGTAAATAACGCTTTACCTTTTTAGCAGTTTCAAACTCCAGCCCTTCCAAAGCTTCCATGGCCAGTTCTTTCCAGTCAGTATCAGTCACTCCTAAACATGCAATTTGATAGGCTTCTTTAAACATTTTTCGTTCCAGGTATTGATACATGGGTGCAGACTGGGGATTTCCATTGAAAAAGACATATTAGAAAAAAATACTGAGATGTAGTATTAGTGAAATTCTTACATAACTGGGAAAAAACATTCTAATCACAAGCATTACAAGCTCCACAAAGAATAAAGGTATAGGGTTTGTGTCACAGACAACATTCTGGGGTGATTATTACTGTATCTTTAGCTAAGCTGGGTTAATTGTATTCCAAACTCCTCCATCTTGAAATCTTCAGTTCCTTGCATATTAGGAAGCACTTAAGAATGTGAATCCTTCTGTGCATTGTACGTGCTAAATATCATGTACGAAGAGCTGCTTTTTTTCATGCCACAGAAGCAGAGTGAAGGAGAGGGTATTTTGTTCTCAAAGCTAAAAGCATGAGAAGGGGTACAACAGCCTGGTGTGAAGCACTCCTGGAAATACTCAGACACAGCAGGAAAAGGTATCATGAGGAAGTAACCCTGCTGTGCCAATCTTGGTGACAAAGCAGTTTTACCAACACTGTTAAGCCCAAAACACACTGACCTCACGGACCTGCACTAAAACAGAACTAAAGAGACAAACTGCCAGCTGCAGGCTGCCACAGACCGAGGCTCAGGATCTGCAGCTCGAGCCCTCTAAGTGACATGGGAGACCGCCTGTAACTCTGGGCTTGCACTAAAGGCAGTATATGCAGATTCATTTCTATTCTTTTTAATATACCTGAAAATTGTGGACTTTTTGGTCTTCTCTCCCTCCAAAAGACTAACTCTGAAAAAGCTGCCTCAGTGATGCTTCCCAGGAATTGTGTGGTATACTGGTGCCTAGAGCACACCAAGGCAGGCAGAGTGTGCCAGGCCTGGCTGATCCATGGCTGTGAGCCACACTGCACAGCCCAGTGCCTAACCAAGGACCTGCCCAGCGACGCACCGGGGCAGGCAGATGCCTAGAACAATGGTGTGAATAAAAGCACAGAGCACTTCTGCTTCTCCGTTGCCTCATTTTCAAATCCTGCCCACACCTGACTGCACAAGGCACAACCATTTTTCCTTTTCCTTCTTCTGTTTTGTTTCTTGGACTGGTTTATACTCTTCCAGTGCTTCCCATAATGCAGGAAATGGTGTTCTGAGGAAGGCAATCTCTAAATTTACAATGTCAAGACTAACCACATAGTATATATTCAAACATACAGCTTAAATGTTGCCTAAACACATCTAGGTGAAGCAACAGTAAGACAGTGTGGGATGTACTCATAAGAAAACATGAAATTACAACTTGAGAAAAGGTACATAGAGAGACTACAGTAAAAATCCAGGCAGTGGGGTAACACCCACACCATATCTTCACCTTTGCTTTTCGATTATGTGCATTTGCAAGTGGGAAGGGAGAATTAGGAACATGATCAACAAGAGCAAAAAGGAAGTTAGCTTAATTAATGCCAAATAAAAATATCATTTAGATCATGCAATATAATTTAAATAACGATGAAGAAAGTGTGAACTGCAATCATTTTGGTAATGGAATATGAGTAAATCTCAGAAAAGCTTCTTCACTTCTTAAACATTGATGTTTATGAAATGTAAAGCAGCACTTAATGAGATTAAAGGATTACCTGCGGAACTTCAACAGCTGACATAGAAAAAACATGAAGACAGAAGATCTTGGAGCCGTTGTAACCCACAACAAAGCCTTGAAGTTTTTGTTGATGGACAGGGAAGTTACTAGCTTTGATATTGAGGTAACCCCCTCCAGAAAAGCAAAGCATATCCTCACACTGTGTATTCCAAGCCACGCTATTTGCATTGGGTTCCTACCGAGCAAAGGAACTGATGATTACAACAGGTGCAGTCACATCTTTCCTAAGAAACAGGCATCCTTCAGCCAGAAGGTTTGAGCTACTATAGCCTGGATGTGTACACACACACAGTTATTATTTATATGTGTAATATTCTAAAGCCTGATTTACAGGGCCATACTTTACGTTTTAATAAACGGCTGTAACTGTCTTGCCTTTGGTTTGCATTTACTTATGATCTATACTATCAAACTGTAGCACATAATATCAAATTCCACAATAATACACCATTAACTAGCACTTTCAGTTGACCATTTTTCTGCCTGTTACAAAAAGAAAGTTCCAGACCCTGGTTTTGGAGCACTTCACGCTTTCTCTGAAAATACCTCACCAACATTAACGAGTGAGCCCTTAGAGTGACTGCGAAACAGCAGTGGAGAGAGAATTATCATTATTCACTTTATACTCATGCAATACATAACAAAGAGGTTTAGGCTTTAATGTCATTCATATTAATGATAAAGTCAAAATGCTCATTAACTATAATGCTTCAGTGGGAACCAGGACAGAGCTCTAAATTAAACCGAAAAAGTCACGTGCTTAAGTGCCCTTTATTCAGCTGTTGCTCACATATATCTCCTGTCTTCTAATTCCTTATCCACCACCTCTTTTAAGGTGGTTTCAATAGTGAAATAGATCACAGTTAAATGCTACAACATGTGATTAATGGCTTAAAACAGATATAATTCCTGCACAGCAACACTTTTGGTATGTTCTGTACTTCAGATGACTTTCTGCTCCCCCAGCACCCCCCTTTGATTTCAATTTAAATTTTACCTGAAACAACAGCTCCTTGGTGTGAATGTCATACACCAGGCAGGTATCGTTTTCATCCACCACTGCCAGCTTGTTGCGGGATGCACTCATATCCAGGCAGCGCACAGCTGTGGATTGCTTCAGCAGCACGATCGCAAACACGTTGTCGACAAAGATCTTCAGAATCTAGACATGTGAAACCAGAGTCAGTCCTTCCACTTTTGTTTCCACCAACTTCAGTGCTGTTTAAAGTGTGCAACTACATTTATTTTCAGAGATGAACTGCATGAAACTAAGGAAATGCTTTCAGTTTGAGGTATCTTGGGAAGATTTGTTTCCACAATGGTTGCAAGCCTATATGGATAAATGATAGGCTACACATCCTGGTTTCTTTTAGTGCTCTACTAGTTAAACAATTACATTAATGCAATGCTACAGGAATATACAGCATAGGTACAGAAGACAAAGAGGATCCCAACTTCCTCTCTGTCCCTGTT